ATTTCTAAGACATTACATAAACATTAAAAATATTTAAGTTATTTTTTCTTTTCAATAAATTAATTCTCTACTTTATAACGTGATAAATATCCAATCCATTTTTTTAATTTAAAACCTTATTCATTTTGTGAAAAAATAAAGAAGAAGTATATTGCTGAGATAGAAGTTTTATGAAGCAAATACAAAAGAGTTCTCTACCTTACTTTCAAGAATTCAAGAGAACAAATGCTTAAAATGAACCTCTACTTTTATTCCTTATATAGCATAAGTCTATGGTCCAATCATATGAACTTTTTAGTGTTAACATACAAACAATTAGTCTAGTCAATAATGTCCAATTAACATGTGGACACTCGTCTTGTTAGGTTGTATGACAGCTTTGTAGGCTATGGCGGCTAAATGGTATTACTACCAAAAAATGGCAGCTATAACTTGTCAATTGCCAAAGCAGTGTCAACCACCTATTCTTCTTTATGTCTAATAGGAGTTACACACTCTATTAACACTCCTACTTAATAACATATTAGACTAATTCAATTTGATGATACCCATCATTTCCTTGAATTTATAATATTTTTTACGAATTAGTCCTTTGGTCAAAACATCTGCAACCTTGTCTTGAGTCCTACAAAAAACTAAGTTGATGTGGCTACTTTCAATCTTTTCACAAATAAAGTGATCTTGAATTTTAATATGGTTAGTACAAGCATAGAATGTAGGATTCCTAGAAAGAGAAATGTAACTTTGATTATCATTGAAAATAGTCAAACAACCTTCTTATAAAAATCTAATATCTTTAAAAAACCTTTGAAGCCAAATTGCCTCCTTTGCAGTATGAGTAGATACCATATACTCTACTTTGGTGGTAGATAATGCAACTATTGGTTGCTTCTTACTGTTCCAACTAATTGCACTAGCAGCCAAAAAGAATGTATAATTAGTGGTTGAACGTCATGTATTAATATCTCCTACATAGTCTGCATCACAATAACCAACCACTTGCAAACTCAAAGAGCTTCTACTAGCACATGATCTGATTTGCTTTGAAGATATTGCAAAATGTGTTTCACCACTATCCAATGTTGTGGGCCAAGATTTGCCATATATTAACTAACAACTTCCACAAAATATAAAATATTGGCTTGGATGCCTATCATTACATGGACTAAATTGTCCACCGCATTTTGATATGGAATCTCCTTCATTGCTTCAATCTCCATAGAAATTTGTGTACTCATGTCTCTTAACAATTTACTATTAGAATTCAAAGTTATAGCCAAAGATTTACAATCTTTCATGCCAAACCTTTCAAAGATATTTTTCACATATTTTTGCTAATTAAGATAGATTTTACAAATATTTTGGTTCTTCATAATTTACACACCTAAAATATAATGGATTTCTTCTAAATCCTCTATTTCAAACCTCTTAGCTAAGTTTCTTTTTATTTCTAAGAGAAGTTCTTTATTATTAGACATAAGCATCAAGTCATCCACATAGAGTGCAATGATGATGAAGAATCCATTAGTTATATACAACATATAAATATTAAGATCAACATAGCTCCTTCTCAAACTTTTTAAGGCAAAATAATCATCTATCTTTGTGTACCATGGCCTAGGAGATTATTTGAGCCTATAAAGAGTTTTAGAAAGTTTACACAGCAATCATTATTTACCTTCTAATATATAGCCTTTTGTTTGGTTCATATATATATCTCCTCTTCAAGATCTCCTTTTAAGAATGTTGTCTTGATATCCGTTTGATAAACTTCCAAATCTTCAACTACATCTAGTGTAAGAAGTATACAAATTGAGGTTATTTTTGCCACTAGAATAAAAGTCTCATTGTAATCAATATCTTCTTTTTGTGCATAATCTTTTACAACAAAACTTATCTTCTAGCACTCTATTGAATCATTTGTATTATATTTCATTTTAAAAATCCATTTGCAACCAATTGATTGTTTGTTTGCAAGTAATGATATCAAAGTCCAACTCTTCTTATCAATGAGACTTTAATACTCTGAATCCATTATTTCTTTCCACTTCTAAGTATCATCCCTTCTTATAGCTTAAATGATAGTAGTTAGTTCTTCAATGCTTGTGTGAAAATCATGTGCCATATATGTTGAAGTTATGAATGTTGATTCATCAGTTATTTGTTGTTGTGCCAAAAGTTGAGCTCTTGCACGCATCATTATAAGTAAAGGTGGAGGTGGAGGTTAGATTGGAGGTAGGTTTAAAGGCACATATTGTTGTCTAAATGCTCAAGCTTGTATTCAAATATCTCAAACAGAAGTTGAAGATTCAATAGTTAGTTATTGGTCACTTTTACCAATGTCCAAATCTCCCATTGTATCTTCATTATTACTTTTTGAATCTAATGAAGATCTATAGGCTCAATTTTAATCCTTTTTTCTTGAGATTTATCAATAAAAACCTCCAAAGTTCCTTTTGTTTGTTTAAAGTCTTCACATTCAATAAATTTAACATCACAATTCTTAATTATGGAACCATTTTTAACATCATATAAATGATAGCACTTAGTACTCTCAACATAGCCCAAAAATATACATTTTTTGCTTATGGGATTAAGTTTTGTACTTTTTCCATCTGGAACATGTACATAGACATTATATCCAAAGATACAAAGATATTGTATTGAAGGTTTTATACTTGACGAAACTTCTTCCAATGTTTTTTTTTCTACAACTATAATAAGAGCTCAATTAAGGACATATTGTACAATATTAATGGTTTTTGCCCACCATGCATTTGAAAGTTATTTATGTTGTAACATGTACCTCGTACTCTCAAATAATGTCCAATTCTTATGTTTTACAACTCCATTTTGTTGAGACATATAAGGGATTGAAAATTATCTTTTAATGCCATGTTGCTCACAAAATTGTTTGAAGGCCTAGATGTGTATTTTCTACTATTGTTACTATACAATTTTTGAATCTCTAAGTCCATTTGTTTCTCAACTAGAGCCTTAAAAATCCTAAAGTTATCCAAGACTTCAGACTTTTGTTTCATGAAGAAAACAAATTAAAAAAAAAAAAAATCATAAATAAAAATAACAAAGTATTTTGTTCCTCCATGAGATGTTATCTTTATAAGATCATTTACATCAGAATGTATCAATTCCAAGAGTTTTCTTACACAAGTACCATCTTTTGTTGGAAAAGCATCATGATGTTGTTTTCTATAAACGCATCTCTCACAAAACTCTAACTTTGTATCCTTGCCTATGTCCAGATGAGCAACCATATCACGTGCTTGTAGTTTCTTCAAGCCCAAAATGCTAAGATGACCATATCGTTGATGTTAAAGATCAGCCTTGTTCAAAGTTTGTTTTGTCTTAGTAACAAGAAAAGACTTTTTATCTTCATCTAAAGATCTCAATAGCTTGTATAAGCTACCATGTCTAACACCTTTGATGGTTGTGTTATCTTCTTTCATGAGACATGTATCAGCATTAAAATTAACTTTATAACCTTGATTTATCATTTTGCTAAGAAAAAACAAATTCTTAGCCAATCTTTCAGTGTACAAGATATTGTATATATCCTTGCAAATGTTCTTTGAAAATTGGAAAGAGATCTTATCATTTTCTTTGATGGCAAGTCCAGTATCATCGCCTAAATAGACTTTAGGGCCTTATGATAAGTTTTTGTAACTTGAAAACCAACTTTGATTTCTTAGCATGTATTGAGAAGCACCAAAATTGATGAACCATTTTTTTTTCATTCATAGTGACATATAATGTAGCTACAAAGACAGATTCATCATTTGTTTTATTTTTCTTATCTAATGTATTAACTTACTCTCCCAGATCCTATCGTTGTTGCTATCAGGTTCCACTTCTATTATTGGATCTCACCATTGCTAGTAGGCTCCAATATTGGTATGATCAGATCAATAGCTGCAAGCTCCAGCACCTATTGCTTGTAGCATTGAAATTTGAAAGTGTTCTTTCTCCTTCAAAATTAATGCCTTGTTGCTTCAATTATGAATTACCAAAAACATTAGTAGCTTGAATTCTAGGTTCATTAGAGGTTCAATTCCTCTCAAGCTAATGCAAAAAAATAAAATCTTCTCAAAGTTGATCGAAAGATCAAGTCTTATAAAACAACCTCAATTGATTTACTCACATCCATCAAAGAGTAAAAATAGAGTATCAAGGATCTGATACCATGTAAGAAAATAAAGAAGAAGTATATTGCTAAGATAGAAGTTTTATGAAGCAAATACAAAAGAGTTCTCAACTTTACTATCAAAGATTCAAGAAAACAAATGCTTAAAATGAACCGCTATTTCTACTCTTTATATAACACAAGTCCATGGTCTAATCATATGGATTTTCTAGTGTAAACACACAAACAACTAATTTAATCAACAATGTCCAATTAACATGTGGACACTTGTCTTGCTAGGCTATATGATGGCTTGATAAGCTACAACAACTAAATGATATTACCCTCAATAAATGGCCACTACAACTAATCAATTGACAAAGCAATGTGAATTGCCCATTCTTCTTTATGTCTAATAGGAGTTACACACTCAATTAATATAATTTATGTCCAATTCCAACATAGTTTGTTGAAGTCATGTCAAAAAGAAATTTAATATTTATAATCTATCAAATATATCAAATTAGAATTTTAATAACTAATAAATCTGTGAAGAAAGTGAAATTTTAATCATAAAAAAAGATACAAGTGGAAAATAATTACAACAAGATGTTATTCTATATTATCTTCTCCTAAAAAAAATTACTCAACAAGATATTATTCTATATCATCTTCTTCTAAAAAAATATTATTCTTGGTTAGAATTTCCATGAAACAAACACAAAATGTGTTTTTGTAATTATCATATTATTTGAAATTTCTTTTTTATTTTAATTTCCTTCAACAACCACTAGAACAAGATCGGTGTTCAAGTGTACCTACATGACAATAGAAGCATCTAATTCAATATTTAATCACTTCATAATAATACAAATATGTCTTATTTTACCAATCTCTTGAAATTATTCATAAAGAGTACATACATGGTACTAAAGAGACATTTGAAGAGTTATTATGATACAATTCACAGAAAAAACTAAATCAATCTTGGAAACCCTAACTTATCAATCCTGTAAAGAAAACCAATCTTAATCAGTCCTTAGAAAGAATCGATGGAGTAAAAAATAGATTAACAAATTGCTGTACACGTTTCCTCTTCCATCGCACACAACCTCGGCAAAGTACAATTAGAAAACTGGAAGTGCCATAAGAGCATCCCACAAGAACTTCACTTTGCCCGTGATCTCCTCCGCTGATGGTATGTAAGAATTAATTAGAGTGAACAACCTCACCACGGCAAGTGTGGCCATCTGCAACACCATCAAGAGCCTACAGCGTTAGTACTGAAATCCACTTCTGTCACAGTGGTCTGCTTCTCGCAGCAGAAAAACTATGGGCTGCATGTTAGTGCACAACAGCGGCAACAGCCCTAACTCATGAATATGAGCGAAATGAGCAACTCGTGTATACTTAAGTGCCACTGATAACAATAGCGATAGTTATCGATAATATTCAATCACTTTGAAGAAATCGAAGTGCTCCACAGGTTACTTTCGCAACACATTCAGAGGGATTTGCACCGAGATATGTCCTCAGCTTGAAACCGTCGTCCTCAAGAAAGCGGGATGATTAGGATGCAAGAATTCGGTGTGTCGAGACACTGATTTCTAAAAAGTAAATTGAATTGAATTAAATGAAAACCCACAAAGTTTGAAGACCATGAGTTCAACTTACAACTTTCCATTGTCGTTCGTAAAAGTTGTGAAGTGCATCCCATAGGGTAGTCCTCAAATTCAATACCTTCTCCAGATCCGAAGGGTCAACCATCGTAAGTTCTTCCATGGGCTCGTGCACGTTGTAAGCCAGCCAAGATATTGTAAACGGGTCTAGGGCATTTAGAAGTTCTGAAAGCTTGCCAAAGTCAGGGGGCGAGGTCGAAAAGACAGACATCAGGGCTTCCGTGGCACGGACTGCTCCGAAGAAGGCAAATGCATTTTGCAAGTACCAGATATCAGTGGTGATGCGTGCAAGTTGTGCATGCTCCATCGTAAGTTCGGTGGTCGTAAATTCATCCAAGGGTGACACTCCATCTTTCTCGTCGAATGCAGAATCACTGAACTCAGGAATGCTCACTGCGCCTGCATCATCCCCTGTTTTCCACAGTCCGCCTACTTCAGTAAGCGAAAATTCTCGACGATCGTCACTGATTAGGTTCAGCACCGAATCCGCCAAGGAGTTGACGGGATGCGCATCAGGCTGAGCTTCTTCTTTGTCTGGATATTCAGTGATGTTGAACTTGTCGCCTTTAAGAGTGACTTCCGAAACCACGGCGGCTTTAGCATCTTCTTCCGACATCAATGTCACCGAGCTCGCCCCCTGCGAGAAATCTTTCCCTTTCGAAGCATCCTCTACCTTCGCACTGCTGTTATCATCATCTACAATCGATCGCCGATCCGAAGCTAAACCATGGACGCTTCCCGACCGACGTCTCACACCTCCTTTCAAAGTCGCTTCTCCTCGTCCAATTCGAGCAATCGCTACTTCACAAAAACCTACTTTCCCCCTATTCTGCAAAGAATTCAAAACTACTACTCCTCCTTGACTACACAAAAGCGGCTTCACGGCTCCAACTCTCACACACTCTCCAACTCCCCTACCAGCGAACCTACTCGTGCTCGCACAGCACGCAGCGCTCAACTCTGCAAAATTCACCGCCATCTGATGACCACTCCACCACACAAATTGCGCTTCTCCACGATGCCGCGCTGCCAAACTTCAGCTCAAAGCCTCGTATCCTCAATCGATCTCCACGCAAGCAATACGCGGATTCCTCCAACTCTCCAGCCTCCTCTTCTCTCCAAAACTCGCTTCCCTTAAACAAACCACAAATGTCACACACGGCATCGTGAGTTCATCCATTTCGACGAGCGAAAGCGAATCCTAATCGGATCCAGCCGACTAAACCCGCGGATGAATAACAACACACAGCCTGAAGCCAAAAAGACAAGTCTCTCCATCCGCACTCAAGAACTGTGATGCTGGCTGGACCTACAGAGCAGGGGAGGATTGCACGCAATCCAGCAGCGTAGGGTACGCACGAGGAGCAGCTGCAACTGCAACTGGGATCACTCAGTTGCGGAATAAGGCGCAATGTGGCTTTCCATCGTCGGCACCTGGCCCGCGATAAAATTCAAATTTACAAAATCTTTGTGGTAAAATTAAAAAATCAAAATTAATAAATATCTGGCGCCTGTTCTATGGCGCCATTTTCGGCCTGGCAAGGTCCACGTGGAGGATCACTGCTGTGGGTGGATGAAATATTCTCAATTTTTCATTCGTCCGTTATTTGGATCATTGTTCGAACTCTGGCAATTAAATGTTGTGGGAACTTTAAAGTGAGAGCCTCATGACTTTAGTTTTAAAAGGAGGGGGGGGACCTAAATAAATTATAAATCGAAAGTCTTTGTGACTGTCGTTTAACTATTTTTTTGTCATGTTTGGAAGTGATGAATGGATGTTTTAGATCAAATAGAGATCAAAGCAATGATTTTTATTCATGACTTGGGAACAAGTAAATAACTTGTATGTATATACATATATATATATATATATATGTGTGTGTGTGTGTGTGTGTGTGTTCATTTATACCTATAGATGAATGATAATAGGACCCACCCATTTACTAAATTATTCATTTTGTAGGCTAGAAAACAAGAAAATAAATAAATAAACAAAACCATGTGAAAGTAAAAGATTATGGATGTTATTTGTTTATATTTCAATCATAAAACTACAGTTTAAGAATATTATAATTGGTAAGTATATATATTGTTTTAAACCTCACAACAAAATTATGTTTATTCATTTTTCTAAAATTTGAATTTAAGAAACAGAGTTTTCAAAATGAATGACACTGATCTGAAATGTTTGTGGATGATAAAACCACAGCCTGTGAAATACTAAATTAGCTAAATAAATATGTAAAAGTGTTTTCTAAAAATAACTTCTATTGCTTGAGAACAAGAATTATGATGTAAAAATACAACAGAATAATGTAAAGGTTCAGATAATTGAAATTTCGACATTGAATAGAACTTGATATTTTATTCCTTAATTTATTCATTTAAAGTTTGGTATCCAGTTGAATATGTGTGTATATGCATGCATGAATATACAGAGTGCGAAAAAGGGAAAGAATCAAAAAAGGGGTTGAGAATGAGATTGATTTAAGTACTGTAAGCGAGTATAGCATTATAAGGGTATTATATAAAACAATTCTTCAGAAAACAATTAAAACCAAAGTTTGAAGTCCGTTGATTTGTTTAAAATTTACTTTTTTAAAACAATTGTTACTATTAAAATAATTTGAATATTGTTCAAATTTTCATTTTCTTTGGATCTCTAGATTTTGAAAACTTCTTGAGTAATAACTATTCTACATTTTAGGGTACCTTGTTTTTTCAAAAAAATTATTCATGTTTTTTTAAAAAAAAAAAAAAAAAAAAAAAAAAAAATCTATACTTGATTCATTTGAAAATCGCCAGCTTGCTAAATAAATATAGAAAAAATGGTTGCCACCTTTTTTAGGTAGCATAAAAATACACACATTTACCAGAGGCCAAATTTTTGTAAATCATGCCTCCCAAAAACTAATCATAAAAAAGCGAAGAAACATGTGTTGGTTGCTTAAATATTTTTGTTGGAAGAAAAGAAAAGAAAAGAAAATCCTAACAAACATATTAAAATTTGTGAAATATTACCACATATAATTCCCAACCGATGTTCATTTACGAATGTTTGTCAGAACATGGAGATACTAAAAAAAAAAAAAGTAAAAAAGTACAAAAGGAAAAAGAAGTATATTTATATACAAATTAAGAATAAATGAAACGAAATAACAACACACACGTTTTGCATGTCTTAAATGTAAAAGAAGGCACAAAAAACTAACAAGACCACAAGTTACACAATTTTCTTTCCATAACTGAAGAAGCCAAAGCACACTAGTGAATTGATTATCACACATTGGATATCACAAACACCATGCATCTTTAGAATTGTGAAAATAAATGAATAAATAAAAATCGACGTACTTACGTTCCCAAAAACATCAAAATACTCAAAATATGAAAGCAATAGAAACCAACTTTATAGTAACAGCGATGAGCCCTTTGTTCCCATGCGTGGGAACACCACAGCAAATGGCAGGGGAACTTCGTCTCTCCCGAACAAGTTCGCATCGCAACGCAACATGGCAAGAGTGAGTTGCTGGGAAGGCCAAGTTTGTATGTTTTGTGGTGAGTGCCATTCTGCGAGTTGGCGAGTGAGTGATCTCGTGTTGTGAGTTACGACGGGTCGCAATGGGACGACGGTTTGACGTCGGAGTCGGAGTCTTCGGCGCTCTATTGCTCGCAAATGCTGCCGTTTCTACCGTATTATGTAAGCACACACACACACACACACACACACACACATATATATATATATATATATATATATATTTGTTTTTTCTCCATTACCTGCGATGCATTATATTTATTCACTCCATTTGACGAGCTCTCTCTTAGGGTTCGTTAAACCATGCGATCGTACAACCTTTTTTTCTCGTTCTATTCATAACATTTTTTCCAATTTTGAGGATTAGGATTTCCGTTTCACTTGCAGGGTGAGTGAGTAGGGATCAAGGCGTGAAGGTAATGGACCCTATGCCATGTTGATTGAGAGTGCGAGTTCGTGCTGTTTAACCTTGAGTTAAAAGAGTTGTTTGATGGATTTTCTGAGTTGAGGGTTTTGTGTTGCAGATAGGGGGGATTTGAAGATTAGAGATGAGGAATTTACTTTTCCGTCTGCACAGGTGAGGGAGGTTTGAGGTGTTTCACTTGCTCAGAGTCTGATCGTGAGAATCATTGCACTGTTTGTTCTTGTTTGCTGATAAATGTGCTCTGTGGAGTAGGTGCCAATTGATTCGGGTCTCCCGTTACTGTATTTTTCAGGTGGTCTTCGAGGTTGCACTAAGTTTGGTGTTATGTTTATGGGCTGCACTTAAAATACCAGGCTCTTTTCTTCCAATATTATCAGATGCGAAAGAAAACAGGTGAGCATTTTGGAAGTATACCTTGGAAGATAGATTTGTGCTTTTGAGCATTGTAGACTCGATACGTTGCTATTTTGTTCCATTTGCTTGAAGTACATGCTCGTCCCATGCACTATCTCATTTGAGTATGATATCAGTGTTTAGTAGTCATGCATCGGTGGCTTTTTAGTTAACAACAGCTGGTAACTTTTGGTTTGTAGGGTGACAATGTTCCCTGCAAATCTGGACTTCATGGTTTTCAATCATCGGGGGAAACTATTTCCACCTAAATTTGTGGAAGCTGAATTTTCTTGACCGTGATGCCTTATCAAGAAGGAAAGCCTATGTAACATCCTTTATTCAGCAGCTTGTGAAAGCCCATTCAATGCCGGAAGTACGGCGAGAGTTCGTATGACTCCTCATGGAGCATTACTCCTGCGAGAGCTTTCGCGTCATGAAGCAAGTGATTTACTGGCTTTGTGGGATTGAGGAGACAGTTGGATGCGGTAGACCTTTGACGTGGTCACGAATAATTGACTGGTGCTGCAGTTTCTTTTCATATTCCGAGAGGCTAACATCGTAGTTGATTGTTGAAGGTCTGCAATGTCATATTATTGGTCTGTCATGCGTTGCTTTACAGCCTTAAAATGTGAACGCACGAGTTGATGGGAATTAAGCCATTTATCTATACACAATGGAAAAGGCGTGCAGAATGTGCAAACCTATTTCACGATGTGTTTATCCTGCTGCGTTTTTTCAGCTTGTACTTTATCCTTTTGGATCCTGAAATAGGTGTTAACTAAAAACATTTCAGGAACAACCTTGTCTACTTGATGTGTTACTAAGCTGATGATAGTCCGTGACACCATGTCTCGGCTGTAAACGCTCTGTACAAAAGCTTGGCCTTACAATGAGAACGCAGAACCTCGTTTCATGAAGTGGCGAAAATGATGTGCTTGACTTAGAAATTCAGTTGTTTCACAGTATATGGTAATGACGAAGTTTGTTTGCATCAGTGGGATAGGCATCCGACTCTGTAGGTAATTTCTTTAGTGCAAACTAATTGGGTGTAGAACACCTGCGAGTTTGTCATGACTGCAATCAAGCACTCGCATATTGTCACATTGTCTGACTTGTTTCATCTACTCCAAATGAATTCAAAGACCAGAGCTATGGCTGATCTTAGTGGAGCGTAACAAAAGTCCACACCACAAAGTATTACATTTGAGTTGTAATTCAACCCAATTCAAATTCTCTCCTCTTCAACTAATGCTATAACCTCCCCATTCTACCACAAATGTCGACGATGGCTGCTGTAATAACATTTAGGAAATGAAGTCTTACGATGGTTCACATCTTCCAGGAAATGTGTAATTCAATCAAAACCCTAAATCAATCCAGCTAAGTTAAAAAAATAACACATCAGTGCAAGGTGTGAAAATTATGGGGCAGAAGTTCAGTCTCACAACAGGCTGATAACTAAGCAAGTGTTCAATCAGAATTGAACTTGACCAAGGAACAAGGTTTCCAATTGAAACTGCGAAGGTGGTCAATGAACAAGGCCATGTTGCTTGAAGCCACTGGAGTGCAGGTTGAAACACTGCAATTTAAACATACAATTCGAACATGATATTGAGAAAATATCGAACTATGAATACGAAAGGCTCGATAGAGAAGTCAGCACAATAAGACAGAGAGGGAGAGAGGGAGAGAGAATTTCACCGCGGAGAGTTCGTGTCCACTGAAGCCCCTACACCCGCGCAATTAGGGTTTCGGAGAGTTCATCGTCCACAGTCGAAACCCTAAAATTCCAGACGAGCGATAAAACTAAACCTCGTCATCCGACGGTCGTGAGCTGTCCCCCTGAACCGCATCTACGGCTAGAAGGGGCTCTCGGAACCCCAACCCGCAGCTAACAAAGAGTCTGGCACTTCCTGCTCTCGCTCTTTTGCTTGGCTTCCTCTTCGCGGAGTATTCTCCCGCAATCTCGTCGTCGTTTTGCCAGTGTCTGTCAAGTATCTCACCATGGTAGGTCTCCCATCTCTCAGGTCTCGTGATTTTCCTTGTCGCACCTTTCGGGTGGGTGTTCTCGAGCGTTTCATTTCGGTGGAGGCATGGGACTTCACCGGGATTTGAGAGATTGGCGAATTGTGTTTTAATTGTCTCCTATCTAGATTTTCGCGGGTTTGTGTAGGGTTTGATGTGTTTTGGTGCGGGGGCTGTCTTTCATTGTAACAGACTGTCAAGAGGCGCAGTGGAGGTCGCAACAAGCATGGCCGTGGCCATGTCAACCCTATCAGGTGCTCCAACTGTGGGCGCTGCGTTCCCAAGGTTGGTGTTGTTTTGGTCTCGTTTTTTTAGGTTTGGGTTTGCCCGGTTAATTATGAACAGATCCTATCTGTTCCTCGAGGGATTTCTCCATGTCTTTTGTCTACCCTAATAGGGTTTAGGGATAACGAGAGGTTATCATTTGATTGCTCGCAGGACAAGGCGGTGAAGCGTTTTCTGGTGCGTAACATCGTGGAGCAGGCCGCCGTTCGTGACGTGCAAGAAGCTTGCGTGTACGACGGTAGGTTTCTCATGGCATGGTGGAATTTGGTCCTGCCTGCTAAGCATCCAAGAAAACTACGTGAAACATTGATATCTTCTCATCATTGGGTGACATTTTAGGTTTTCTTACAATGTTTGTTGCTCAGGGTACGTGCTTCCCAAGTTATACGCTAAGATGCAATACTGCATCTCTTGTGCCATCCACTCGCACGTGGTGCGTGTGCGATCTCGTGAGGCACGCAGAATTCGTGAGCCTCCCCAGAGGTTCCGCCGCAAGGTCAGACTTTTGGTTGACGCACTGCGCTATATCCCGTTTGCAATTCTAAGTTGCTTGCATCTCTTGAAATTGTCAATTGATTGGTGCCTGCCATCGACGATATTTTCTGCGTTCTATTTAGATTATAAGATTTTTCTCTACATCATGAGCTGAAGTCTCCCTATTTGTCCATTTTCTGTCGAGCAGGAGGACGGTCCCCCACGCGCCCCTGGTGCCCCAGGCGCCCGCCCTGGCGCTGCAGTCGCCAAGTCTTAAAGCGATTGGCTAGGCTTCATGTGGTTTCCAGGCTTTTGAAGAAGAAGATCAAGTAATAGAGTTCAGCATTCAGCAGATTGGTGTCATTCTATGATGTTATCAGCGAAAGTGCCACTTGGGTACATCCCAGTTTGCTTTCTGCCTTTTATCATTTAATGTCAATCTGTTCTCATATCACTGTCCTGGATGCATGGGTTTATTATAGCATTTGGTTCACAAACCTCATCTTGTCCAGAGTGAAATGACTCAGGATTTCCCTTTTTTTGGATTGGTGTCGCGGATGATTTCTTTTCTATTGACCTTTACGTCCTGTGTCCTTCTTTTAGGTAATCCTAATTTAGTGTATGTCGAGATTTGTAACCCTGCAAGTTCATGGTTGTGCGACGATGCCGCATCGCTGACCTCTCTTTTGTACACCCTTTTAAATAAGATATTGCCATCGCATTTAGGTGAATAATCCATACACCATAGTGAAAGAACCTGGTGTCAAAATACTGCTACGCTTAGTAGCACCCTTTTCAACTTAATGCTGGTAAAACTTTAATGTGGGAATACCCTTGCGATCGACTGCAAATGAACTCCGGAACGTAGTGGGAGTTGCCTCACTCTGTACGACCGTATGGGACTCCCCTCCTTTTGCGTTCGAAGGTTTCATGAATAATATTGCCTTTGAAGCTCCCATTGCTGGCCGTGCACAATGCTGTGCTGCCCGTCAGTCATCCTGATGTTGCTTGTCACAACAAGCTACGCATGTTGTGGGCCAATAAGTGACACCCACTTTACAAACAGTTGATTTGGCCTCTTCAGCAACTCTCAACTGTTATTATTAGTTCGGCAAGAACATAGTGGTATCAGATTTAGATTCTAGGCCGTTGGCATTATCGTATAGGTCAATTGTTTACAGAATTGCTCCTGCTTTTTCTTGGCCTTGAACAAAGACGTAAGGAAAGAAAGATTATGGACCTGGAATTACTACTGATCACTCATGGCTCAGATGTGATAAATATGTTTTTGTGTCAACAGCGGTTGTTAAATGCATTCATCACGACAGAAATTGCGCGTGTATTATCTAGTGAATACTAGCTGATTAGAGCGTACAATTCTACAGTTGAGAGAGTGACTGCCCGTAACACTTAATTCAATACTAGTTTAATAATGGGTAAGTTTACAGTTTGCGTTTGAAGGTCCATCATCTTGAATAAAGAGAAATGTTATTCCTGGGCATAAGTTCTTAATTTAGAAATTTGATATGATAAGTAAGAGTTATTTAAATATGTAGTTTATTATTTTTTGGCAGCATATATAGTGTCTGGAATACATTAAGATTGCTAAAAAGTCTTGTCATGCAACATCAAATGAACTGAAAGCATATGTGCATTTTTGTTATATTTTGTTTTAGTTCTCTACTTGTTACAGCTATTTCAACATCACATTCTGAACAGCTGGTGTTGCTCATGTGAAGCTTAGAGTAAAATGCGTGCATAGATTGAAAATTGTGAGATGTTAACTTCAATGATGGAAAAAATAAAATATTAATCAGGTTTAGGGTTAGTTTGTCTATTTTTGGCTTGCCATGCTATGCCATGTCATGTTAGAATGTTGAATGGATTTCTAAGATAAAGTTTTTTTTTTTTTTTTTTTTTTTTTTTTTCTGTAGGTTTTGTAAGGACTTCTCAAGGCTGTAGGTTAGTTTGTCATTTCTACAGAACCTACTCAAAAAAATCCTCAAAACAAAACACTGGGCAAACCAACCCACTTTGAGAACCATCCAACACTTGACTTATCATCTCCATCATCAAATTATGCACTGACACAAATTGAACTCTAGAAGATTAGACTTTGACCATTTCTGTATCATAAAACAGTGTGCAGCACAAGAATTTAGGTGATAAAGTGCAAAATAATGCCACATCTACAACCAATGATAATAATAGTAATATAAAACAGAATAAGACAGAAGAATACCATATGAAGCACAAGTCCAATTTTCTATAACCCATTTGGTAGCATTCTTAAACTGCACTGTCACATGGGGCTTTGTCAGCTGTCACAATATAATGTTCTCTTAAGTGAGATTGCAGCTCTAGAGTACATACATAGTCATCCTAATGGATTGAATTAATATTGCCAATGGAAAAGGGGGAGTCTGGAGAATTCTATTGAATGCTCCCTTGGATGGGAAAAATGACAACCCACAGTGGGAAGGTCCATGTTCACTGCTTCAACCATCTACAAGTTATTCTAAATTTCTACACTACTCAAGTTTAATATGCTAAAATTTGATATGCTTAAATAATTCACAATTTGTGTAAAGAAAGGTAAGTAAAAATGCCATTGTTTGTAAACAAACTATGTATGCATGTATGTATGTATGTTATTTTACAATGTTGAATGTGCATATTTTCTTGTGTTGGGTTTTATTTTTGGACCACCTTTAAGAGTAAAATTTACTTCAAATCCTTTATTTTAGTTTAAGTACATGTTAATGTTCTCATTTTTATTTGTTTAAACATTTCATAAATTGAGTACAAAAGAAACTTAATAATTGCTGCAATTGAAGGTTGAGTTTTGTAAAAGCATTTATCATGACAATTAGCATAATTCTACCTTTATTACAGTTCTTTGCTTCCATCTAGGTCAGATTGGTAAAAGTCATTCAGAATCTCAAGGACAGTGGTTAGGAACTTTATGTGGAATAGTTGTCAAAAACATAATAAAATCAAAGTAGCACAATAAATTATTGTAAATCTAAGAAAGGATTTAGGTCTAGTCAACTTTGAAGAAGGTATGACAATCCTACTATCTAACTATGTTATCAAAGAACTTGTTTAAGGAGAATTTAAAATTTGTTTAAGGACAAACTTTTGAAAGTAATTCTTAAGACTCTAAAAACATGGTGGTCAAATTTTGCATAGATGCTGATGCCTAAATCCAAATAGACACATAACTCCAAAAAATAGTAAAAAACTGATAGGAATTGGGCCAAAATGATCTTATTCTTAAGCTTAAGATTTTTCAAAGAGTTGTATGATGCATAAAGTACGTTTTTATAATAGGATTTAGATTCATGTTTCATAAATTTTATTAGTCAATTCTAAAGAGCTACTTCTCTCTATAAGTAGCATATGCTATGCATCAAACACATCTTTAATTTCTAAATGGAAAGGCGTTTTATCATAAAAAGGAAAAGTGAGAATTGTTTTTGGACTAAATCCTCAATTGTGACAACTCTTAAATTGATGTTATCAACTTATCTTTTGATTTTTAAGCCTATGATTGGTACTCTTGGGTAAAAATAATAACATGTTTAGTCAAGTATAAAAAACAATTTTCATAAATTCTTACAACCATCTTAAAATTTAACTACTTTCAAGTTGCAACTTAAATCTAATAAAGATTTTTAATGCAATTGAAAAGATGTTTGATTTAAATCAAGAAAAATGACAATTTTAATATTTATTTGGCTAATCTAATATAAAAAATCATGTTTAATGCTTTGAGAACATAAATCAGTCAAAAAATCTTATTGAATTGCTCACTTTGTACTGCTAATATGAACAAACAATTTTTCATAAATTTTAAGAATTCACTCAAACACATAGAATATAGAATTTGGCTATTTTTTTTGAATTAAAGATTGGCTTTTCATCTATACTAATAAGGGCCTTAGAAGGCTTTATTACGGAAGAAAACAACTTTTGTTATTAAAATTCCTTTGAAACTTAAAAGAAATTGGTTTGAACTTTATTTATTGACTTGCCTTAGTCATGAGATATTTAATTTTAGATATTCTTGTTATCACATCTCTTCGTCAACTAATGCAACAAGTATACCATGATTTTTTTTAAAGAAAATTACTAATACATATTCAAATAATGTGGTCATAATAACCTTTTGGAGGTCTTTAATTTTTTAAAGAAACTAACAACACATTAAATAAAAAAGAGAAAATATTATACATTCTCCTAATTCTTTTTTAAAATATTAAGAATATTCCTCAAGTTTTTATAATATTCCACATGCCCCTCAACTTTGTGATATTTGTAAATTTTTTCTTTGGATTGATAACCTATCTTTTCTTATTTACTTTTTTCTTTTTTATAGTTTTAACTAGGGCCCAAAGTCTTTGCTTTTCCACAATACTTGGGCCCCGTGCAAATCCCTATCTTTGCTCAATTTCAGCAAGCATTTTTACACCATCTGTAGTACTTGCTGCAACAATTAATGTTGCCAACTCATCTGCTTTGACAACCAATTCTATTGAATAAAGTGTTGCATCTAAGGCTTTTAAAAACAATGTAAATGACGAACTTGTTACGAAGGCTCTAATTTCAAGTGCAGCCTCAATATCAAGTAAGAAGCTTAAAGTGCTCATCTAATAAGTTGTTTACCTGCTCCATTTGTGGTCTGCTCATTACATAGTCATACATATTATCATTGCTGAGAGACAACAACAAAAAAGAAGATTCTAAAGTTGAAGAAAAGAAGGTAGAGGTTAAGATAAAGGAGAAGAAGGAAGATGCAACAAAGAAGAAGGTAGAAGTAAAGGAGGAGAAGAAAGAGGAGAAGAAAGAATAATCTTCCACTTTAGTAGTAATACAAGTGCACTATCTCTTGCCTTATTCCATGCATGAAATTGTGTACAAATATCCTCCTTATGGATTTGACTATAGACTGAGGCAATTTTATATGCCTCTCTATTCCAATTACTATATGGATTATGGTCTTCAAATTTTCTTGTATAATCCCAACTACATGAAGCACATCAAGATAGCTTATTGAGACTGCCTTGGAGTTTAAAGCATTGTTTTGCATGTTTGGACACATTAATGCAAGGTAATTAGGAGGCATTATGCAATTTGATTCAAAGTAATATGGCCTTTGAGGATGAAGATTAGTGTTTTAATGGGAGTATTGAGAGAAATATTGAAAAGAGTAGTATCTCCAAGCCATATGAAAAGATCAATTTGCTATTAACAAGAAGTACTTTTTTTGTAAGAACTAGGTCACTTGATCAAAGATTGCAGAATAAGAATAGCAACTAAAAATTATAAAAGTAGAAAAGAAATAAATTTTATTACAAACTTAAATAAATTATATGTGGCAACACTTATAATTGCAAAAAACTCAAATTCAATGTAGTATATAGATTTGGGAGCAATTCAACATATGTG